TACGAAATGGCCACCGACTGGTCTACTACGAAATGGCCACCGACTGGTCTACTACGAAATGGCCACCGACTGGTCTACTACGAAATGGCCACCGACTGGTCTACTACGAAATGCCCACCGACTGGTCTACTACGAAATGGCCACCGACTGGTCTACTACGAAATGGCCACCGACTGGTCTACTACGAAATGGCCACCGACTGGTCTACTACGAAATGACCACCAACTGGTCTACAACGAAATGACCACCGACTGGTCTACAAGGAAATGACCACCAACTGGTCTACTACGAAATGACTTTCTAAATGGTCATCAAGTTGACTACAACAAAATGGTCATTTACTGGTCCACCATCAACTGGCCATCTAAAGGTCTACTACAAACTGGCCATTGACGTGTCCATTGCCCATTCACTGGTTTACTACTGACCCGCCTTGTTACTAACCTGCATACTGCTGAATCCCAGAGTAGGCCTGCGATAAAGCATTCATGTCCACAGCATTGCCAGATAAATTAGAATTTAACCCTGTTGATCCTAGTCCATTCATGGATCCTGCAACTCCACTCCCTGCAAACAAATCAACAAATTCAGTAACACTTCCAAATGATGAAAAAACAAAAGTAAATATTAAAATTTACAAACCTTGTCACCCATTTCAGAGTCTGAACACAGCTTGCTGTGGAACACCAAACAAATTTCAGGAAAGCAGGGCCATATCCTAGAAAAGCACTGAGCATTCCAAGTAACATCGCGATGTGCATTGTACAATTTCATTACAATGCACAGCAGTGTTCTTGCTGAACACTAAGTGGGTGCATATGTCCCCTTGCAATTATATAGTGCCCACCTCTTGTAGTACTTAATGTGTTTAATTCTTGTTTTCTAATTTACAACTCAGCAAAAAATTAAAAAAAAATAAGATATCACAATTGCAGTTGAATCAAAGCATATATACAAAACAGTATTTGATATGTCAAAAAAAAAACCTGTTAACAAACAAGCTGCCCTCTAATTGGTCCGACAACTTATATGGTAGAGTTTGGTAGTGGCTTTGCAAGAATTACAACAATTGTTGCATTTCCTTATAAAAGGCTGTTACTGAATTGAGAAGTTATGCATACTTTCATACCACAAAAAACAAACTTATATCTTTCTCTCTTGCTAACAAAACTCTGGGGGGAACACTGCACAGAATTAATTTTGATCTTTTTTTTGCAAGATGAAGTTCAATCAAAAAACCAAGTGCTATTTATTTAAGCATAAATGTTGGCCAGTATAGACATTATGTATAGGTACATGTAGCTCCTGGAACAGTGTAGACTTTTAGACAAAGTTGAGATTGATGTTGAATTTAAAGTAAACAATAGAATCCAGAAAACCTGTTTCACATTATTTGGAAAAGTTCATAAAAATAGTGGTAATTCAGGTCACCATTAAACTCATTCATTGTGCATGATAAGTTAAAATAAATGAAAGAATCTAAGTTAATGTGGGTAACATAGGGATAAAACATGTACCATATTTGCCCCATTTGAAGTGCATCTATTTTAGTACGAGACTATCAAAGAGGTGGCGCAAAGGCTGATCAAGACACGCACACATACTTTATTAACTTAAGTTAGTATAGAAGATTGAGAGACTGGTGTAAGTTAACAGCAAACTAAAAACTTGGCTTACATGCATCAGTATTGGAAAAGGTGTGTATAAATTAACAATGTCCAGTTCCTCAGCTGCAATGCGCACAATATCATTAATTGTATGCAAGTCAACTAAATTTACTTCACCACACACTGGAATTAACATTGTTACCCTGACTTTTAGGTTGTCTCATTATTCAGAATGAAGCAGAATCAACAACTCATTGTGACATCATTTTCAGTATGTACATTCCAGGAATCAGTTAAATAAAAAAAAAAATATAACAGTCTTACAAAGGAAATCAAAACGCTAATTGACACTGATGTGCATACCAACATAGCAATGAAAGGATGTGAAAATAACTACTGTACAAGTGGCAATATGCCTGGGAGTGGTCACTATCGTTTAGGGATACAAACTTCTGGATTTAAATGTGAATGTGTTATAATATAATATCAAAGAAGAACAGTCAATTGTTGTAACAAGTACATTGTGAGTTAAGAGGCAGTGGATAATTAAAACCACCACACAGAAAATGTAATCTCTTTATTTAAAGATTTATTAACATTTTCACCACCAGACTTTCTCGCCTGAGTTTTTCTCATATTCTTGAGTTAATTTACAGTTTTTATTCCAAAAATTGGCTAGTTTTGTTCCAATCTTCTGAAAAAAATGTTGTGAATTTGTGATGAAAAGGTGTAACTGGTGGTGAAAATGTTTAAGGATTTCAATCACTGCGTTACAAGTTACAAGATTACTTTTTCTGGTCATATGTTTCAATTATCCACAACAAACAATAAATGTGGAAATGTAGCTTCCTCCGACAAAGACTGGGTTGTGTTGGCAGCATACTTGGTACAGCACTGCATTCTGGGACATTACAGTCAAGGAATAGGTATCAAGTTGAAGGGTATTTGAGAATATCCTAAGACATGGAGTGAGTGTCTATATATATCTTACAATTGGCATCACCTGGTAAGCCTGTTGATCCACTTAAGCCCTGTAATCCACTAGCTAGTCCAGCAGCAGCAATCAAATTACTACCATTATTAGTACAATTGGAAGTTGGACTATCGCCTACAGAGATATACAAAGACAAAACATCACAAACACAAACAATATAATCAAGTCAAATGTTCTGCAGTGCTTTCATGGTTACTGTGAATGGTTCAAATTTCATTTCTTAAAATACGCATTCCCTTTTTTGCAAATATGTTAAACGAAACAAGCTAAAAAACATAAAACCAGTTAAAATGATGCTGTTTTAGCCAAAATAAAAATATGATGTAATAAAAGTAGATATCCTTCCCTTACTTTCCAAATAATTTCATTTTGAGAGTACGGTACTGGTTGTTATTATTCCAGACAAACAATGTACGCCTACAATGTACAGGAATTGACCAAAATCAATGAGTAAAAGACTAACAAAATCTCAACTGTTTATAAATCCAGCTTAATATAGGTATGCTTAAAGACAAATCCTAGAGAAGGATCTATGCTCAAATTCATATTCTGTCAGCAATTTTTTATTTCCCATCCAAAACCTTAACATTTGTGATATATATATCTATCTATATCTCTGTATCGGTCGGGGGATGGTACCTCACAGATTTGCAAAGTGGCAATGCAGCTTTAAGAAGCCAGTAAAATGTTTACTACAACACATTTTCATGATTTTTCTCCAAATAGTATTGGTTGACAGATCAGACAGGTCCTGCCTATTATTATCCAAAAGTCCTTTCATAAAATATTTCCTCTAATGCTTGACTATGAACCATTCACAGACCAATGCTACAGAACACCCTTGTACAGCATGCCTATCCCACAATGCAACATTCAAGAAGACAAAGTAAGCTTGTTACCATGGTTGCTCATTTGTTTCAACATGTGATAGTGCACTGTAAAAAAAAATAATACATATACCGTATCTGCTCTATCAGTAGAGCATGCGTTTATGTAAATCACGAAAGTGTTTTTATGGTCAAAATAAGTCATATTAAAGATTCTTCAGTATACGACATGAAATTTTTAATTTACATGTACATTGTACTTCGATTGGACATGTGCATCTAATAGACCAAATACGGTAATTAACATCACAAATGTTCATGTGTGTTGTGTTGGACGCAGTACAGCAGGTCGTTTGAGAAGAGAAATTACTCCACACTTAACAAATTTAAAAGAATTCAACAGCATAGCTATACTTAAAAGTCACATTAGTAAATACCACAGCAAATCAATAGTTTCACAATTTAAAATAAATAGTATGCAAGTTTTTGTGCATTATGTATTATGCTAAACCTCAAAGGGAGCTTTGCTAAGATTTTCAGCATTTTGTTCGTCATCCATGTGATACTGAGACCACAAAATGAACTTGATGGTACCACACAAGTAAATTCATGATTATGTCATGTGACAGTGTTTATTTACGATAATAGCATACAAA